TGAGATTGAGACAAAATTGTGCTACACCGGTGGCACCCTTCAGCAGAGATAAAAATAAAATATAATAATAATACAAAATCAAGGCTAGTAGCAGGGTTTGAACGATTGAAGACGATAAAATCGAAAAGTATATATATATATACTGAAAAATCTAACTCATATATACATAGATAATAAAGAATGGATAGGCTATTCTATACTTTTAACGTAGTGCCGCGATCCAGAGTAGATATATATTCTTGTCTCATAAAAGTATTGAATGGCAATGGTTACTGTGGTCAGCTGTGTGGTTAATAATCATTTTTATATCAATGATATTATTGTATTTATTATGAATGAGTAAAATATTATTTTAGTTTAACGTTGAGCCAAAATCCACAATTAAAAGGACAAATTTTAAATTCAAATTTGTATCTGTGGCAGATTTATTTTTAAATTAATACTAGATATATTTAGATTAATACTTTGTTCACTGTTGTGTTATATAAAGCAATACACAATCTAAAATTGTATATGAGTGACGGTTATTCCATATGGGTATCATATCATTCACGAGCTTTAATATTATTATCTATATTTATTTAAGATAATTTCATATTATTAGGTTTCCAAAGACGCTGCATTGCGACAAAATGGATGGACAGTTCAGTTCGACTACTGTTTCAATCATCAGTATGTTCAAAAGACGGATAAATGTTTCAAAATATAATGGTTACAATGTAACTATATTCATCACAAAGGCTTATGCAATTCATCAATTGAAGTGGTACAACAGAATTGTATACCTGTACCAAACATAGATGAAATGTTGTGGCAATGAAAACCTGAGAATAAAATATAAATCTATGCTCAATTAGAAATAGTAACATCAGAATAACACCTAGTACCAGAATTAAATGAAAGCATTGCAAATAATAATGAAAATTCAGAACATAACATATTTATGACACTTTCAACAAAAGGTAAGTAACTTATACTTATGTTTTTAAGTTTGTATTCTTGTTATATGTTATTTTTATTTTTAGTTTCTGATTGCTCATGGTCGCAAATTAATTAACCAAAAAGGAAAATTTTGAATAGTACACGAATTGGTGACCTGTCTATTGCTGAGAATTTTCAACTCCAAAAGGGCGAAGAGACATTTAAATGTTATCAAATGTACTATATCATGTTTACGACGCAAAATAAATTGTTAAATCAGAAAACAGAAGGCTCCATCAAAAAGTTAATTCATTTAACGGATTACTTAACGTGTTAAAAAGTCTACTTCGTGAAATACACATAATTTAGTTGCACCCTGTCTAGTGAATTACTTATGAGGTCCCAGTGACAATTTTGTACCTCAATTGGCATCCTAATGTCATTATTGATCAAAGCTGGGCAAGTTAGTAATTTTTAGTTCGCTAAGTTTTTAACATTGGTAACCACTTATGATTATATAATCACTTTGTTCCTAATCATTAGTGCCCAGCTCACGACAACAATAATAATAACAGCGTGCTGATTGAATTAAAAACAAAACTTGAACCAAATTAGTGTTTGTAATATTAAATTGACTTGTAACGAGATGATTCAACTAATTAAATTAATTGTTACTATTATATTATATATTATAAAATGTTATTATTGTTGTCACTGCAATACTATATAAATAAATAACAAATAATAATTATTACAACCATAATTTATGTTTTATTTATTAGGTATTGTAATCGATGTTTTAGAAAAGTTAGTTAAAATGGATTATCTGGACAAACAATGTTATCAAAAGAACTCAAAGTGAATACAACATGTAACCGAACGGCATACCATAATTCACAGGAGTTAAGTCCATACCCTATATCCTATCTTTTAAGTTAGACCAAATTACACGCGGTGTAAAAAATTTCATCAGAATCGGTTAAGTGGTTTAGGAGTCCATTGAGGACAAACATTGTGACATGAGATTTATATATATTAAGAAGATATACCGAAAAAATCTAACCTCAACAACGCGAGCAGCAAAGGGTCACGACGCAAACGTGTTGAAAGAGCTCAGCAATTACCAGAACAAATCGAAACAAGAAATGCAGCTCAAAGAATCAGGACTGCAGAAAGTCGTGCACGAGAATCTCAAGAACAGCGTGACGAATGTCTGCAACAGAATATTACGAGAACAAGAGCGGCACGAGAACGAAACATAGCTACAGTACGAGAAAGAGATCGACAAAGGCAACGGATCAGCCGCTCATTAATACGTGCATCATTCGTTCGGCTTGCCTTTGAATATGCACCAGATATTAACTAAGATATGTATGCTAAGGTTGAAAGCGAACGCTTGCGATTCCTTCGATTTAACCAGGCAAAACTACGATCGGAAGAATATATTTACTTACGAGATGCTGTTGCTGGAAACATCGATGGAAATTTACCAATGACATCGGTAATGCTTTCATTTTACCTTCAAGCTACATCGGCAGTCCACGGAACATGCAGGAATACATACAAGATGCGATGACTTACGTACGTCATTACGGCCGACCGGATTTATTTATTACATTCACATGTAATCCGAATTGGGAAGAGATACAAACTTTACTATTGCCAGTACAAGAAGCCATTCATCGTCATGATTTAACTGCACGTGTGTTTAAACAAAAATTAAAATCCTTAATTGATTTTATTGTTAAATATGAAATTTTTGGTATCACACGTTGTTGGCTGTATACGATAGAGTGGCAAAAGCAAGGTTTGCCTCATGCCCACAATTTGGTTTGGCTTAAAGATAGAATCCGTCCTGAAGAAATCGATCAAATAATTTCAGCCGAAATTCCAGACCCATTAATTGATCAAGAATTATTTGATATTGTCACCAAACACATGATCCATGGGCCATGCGGTGCTTTCAACATGACGTCACCGTGCATGGAAAATGGAAAATGTAAAAAAAACTTCCCAAAGCCGCATACGAATGACACGAACACGGATATTGATGGTTATCCAATGTATAGCCGCAGAAGTACTGAGAATGGTGGCCACACATTTACAATGCGACTGCCGAACTTTCCAAATCAAGTTGAGTTTGATAATCAGTGGGTAGTACCATACTCACCACTACTTTCAAAAATTTACAAAGCTCATATCAATGTTGAGCTTTGCAGTTCTGTTAAATCAATTAAGTATATTTGTAAATATGTAAACAAAGGCAGTGATTTGGTCATATTTGAAGTACAAAACATAAATAAAAATGACGAAATAGCACGATACCAAATGGGCAGATACATAAGCAGCAATGAAGCTATTTGGCATATTCTCAGCTTTCCCATCCACGAAAGAGATCCTGCTGTCCAACATCTGGCAATACATCTTGAAAACGGTCAACGTGTATACTTCACTGAAGAAAATGTTCTCCAAAGAGCGTTCGAAGCTCCGAAAACGATTCTAACTGAATTTTTTACATTGTGTTAAAAACCTGATGTTTTTGGCCAATTCGCGAAGACATTGGTGTATGGTGATGTTCCACGTTATTTTACATGGAACAAATCCAGTAAAAAATGGGAGCCACGGAAACAAGGAAAACCACATCCTTCCATTACAGGCATATTCAAAGCTAAGACATTGGGGAGACTTTACACGGTACATCCAAAGCAACGTGAGTGCTTCTATTTACGTTTGTTATTGGTGAATGTTCCCGGACCAACGTCTTTTGAATTTTTACGAACAGTTAATGGTCCAGTATTCAATACATATCAGGATGCATGTCGTGAACTGCAATTGCTAGAAGACGATAACCATTGGGACTTAACGCTTGCCGATGCTGCGTTGTCATCAACACCGAATAACATTCGTCAGTTGTTTGCAATTATTTTGACGACATGTTATCCCTCGCAAGCACAAACTTTGTGGGAAAAATATAAAAATTGTATGACAGATGACATCTTGCACCGAATTAAACAAATAAATCAATGCCAAAATATAGATTATACACCAGAGATGTACAATGAAGCATTGGTCTTGATCGAGGATTTATGTGTTCTCTTAGTGTTCCTCTTAATGTAATATAACAAAAACTTTAGCCACAGCAACGCGTGGCCGGATCAGCTAGTAAATGTATATATTTATTGAATATAATAATATAATATATTTTGTCATCATCAATCAAGCCATATAAAATTAAATGTGTGAGATCAAAATTCATTTTTAAAATTTGAAAAATATTTTATGAGTAGTAGTGTAAGATTGGATATCAAAATGAAAATAGCAATTAATAATGATGGAATTAAATGAGAAAAAAAAATGCAAATAATCCGTTATGTGCAGTTTCTTATGGTGTCGCCCGAATTTCGCAGGAACGGAATTCGAACCTGCCTACCTAACGTTGGGGAACCTATCCTAACACCTATCAACTACCGTTTGATTTGAAAACCGTAACGGAGTTTCGAGCACTTAAACCGTTTTAGGGATGCGACGAATACTATAGTATACGTCGTTTAACCAATACAATTTTTACGATTCGCGTGTCATGAAACCGTAAATCGCATATTTATTGTCGTTTAGAGTGTTTCTGACGTATTCTTTTACACTATTTAACCCTTTCAGACCGGCGAGTTACTATAATGACCCACTACTTTGATTGCGTATAACTAATTGAATATTGATAATAAAAATATAGAGAATGTTGTTTAGAATATAATTAAAAAAAAAAAACAATTAATTTTCAGTCATTAGAATACAAGAATTTTTAGTTTTTGTTCATCATAATTAATGAAAAAAAAAAAAATGAAAAAAAATAATTATTTTGCTTGTTATAATTTTTCCGCTAGATCGTGCCCTATGAATCATTTTTATTTTATTGTGTAATAGTGTATGAATAATATCTTTTTATCGCCATGTACGTGACTCAATTTCTACTCCACATATACGCGATTGGACAGTGGTACATTATAATGACCCACCGGCCGCTACGCCTGATAATGTGATCGCGCGCGAAAATGTCTTTGTTTGAAATGGAGGGAAATATTGTAATCAGATCTTCACACGTGTGAATAATAAATAATAATTATTATCACAAAAATAAATTAAAAACAAAAGTATAAACATATTGTCATAAAACAATAATTGTTTCGATAATTATTATAGTTTTAGTTGATATTTTGTTTGTTATATTTATTACGCATTAGTGTTTTGTTGAAAAAAATGGCTAATAAACTAACAACACAAGGTATATTAGACCTTTTGGAAAATGAGAAGTCTCCGATTTAGAAATTACTGATGATGATGAAGACGACTTGGCGTTCGATGGGGTAGATGATTTTCCGGGTGTAGAATTTGATGATTTATTACAGCAATTCGACGGTAATTTTGAAAATTTAATGGAGACTGCAGGTGATACTATAGTTGATACTTTGGATACTGATGATATTCCCCCCCAAATTTCTCCTCCGAGAAATGAATTTCCGATAACACAAAAAAAAATATAAAATGGTTACAACAACCATTTCAGTGTCCAACTATAGAATTACAAGATCTTGAAACACAAGTGCAGGTGGACTATTTACGTAATCCCATTGATTTTTTTTTACAATATTTCGAAAACGATTTTTTTGAAATTGTAGCGTTCAATACCAATTTGTATACCGTACAAAACAATAAAACAAATTTTAAACCTACAAATAAGCATGAAATACAAGCATAAATCGCTATTCATTTGATTATGGGATGTTTAAAATTTCCAAGGATACGTATGTATTGGGAAGAAAAATTTAGAGTACCGTTGATTTCAAATTCCATGTCCCGTGATCGTTTCTTGCAGTTACGAAATAATTTACATATAATTAATAATTTTGATATACCGCGTAACAATGTAGACAAATTTATAAAAGTTCGACCCTTGTATGACCAAATTAAAAAAAAATGTAATAATTTACCGAAAGTTAGAAATGTGTGTATTGATGAGCAGATGGTGCCGTTCAAGGGGAAATTATCGGTAAAACAGTACATGAGGGGCAAGCCCTTGGGGTATTAAAATTTTTGTTTTGGCGTCCGAGTGTGGAATTATCTATGATTTTATATTATATCAAGGCAGTTCAACAGAATTAGATCAAAATAAGTTGAAAATATTTGGATTTGGAGCTTCAGTAGTTTTATGTTTAGTGCAAACATTGAAAGAAAAAACGCATTTTTTATTCTTTGATAATTTTTTTTCCACCTATTAATTATTTGAACGACTTTATTATCTCGGCATATATGCAGCTGGAACAGTCAGAGCAAATCGTTTTGTGAATCTGCCCTTATTAGGTGATAAAATCATGGCAAAAATTGGTAGAGGATCAACGTTTGAAATTCGATCTCATGTCGAAAATGCTTGCGCAATAGGATTGGTAAAATGGTTCGACAATAAATCGGTAATTTTAGGCTCGAATTTTATTACATCTGGTACACTTGATAACGTACAACGATATGACAAAAAGCTCAAACAATATGTCACAGTAGAAAGGCCAGAAATTGTTAAATTATACAATGCCAGTATGGGCGGTGTCGACAAATATGACCAAATGATAAGTCTGTACAGAACTTTTATAAAATCTCGGAAATGGACTCTCAGAATGATATTTCACGCATTTGATTTGGTTGCAAGTAATGCATGGTTACAATATAAGAAGGAGGCTGAGGAGTTATTAGTGCCGAAAAAAAATGTATTGGATTTTCTACATTTTCGTCTTCAGTTAGCTGAAGAAATGATTAGTACTACGCTACAGACTCCGCCAACAAAAAAAAAATAAAGTAGGACGCAAAACTAAACTTTTGTACAGTTCCGAGTCACCAACTCCATCATTATCTTCATTGCTACCATTATATTCTCCAACTAATCGCACAGACAGCTCGTTGCCTCTTGATGTGTCAAGATATGATAGATTAGATCATATGCCGAAAATAGATTGCTTGAAAAACGCAACTAAATGCAAAAATCCTATGTGTTCTAGAAATAATCGAACCCATTTTTACTGCACCAAATGCAATGTTCACTTGTGCTTGACGAAGGAGACAAATTGTTTTGCAGAGTTTCACAAAAAAAACTAAGTTTTGTTATACTTTTCAAGTACTCTAAACAGGCACCTATTTTGTTTTTTTATTTTTTATTTACAGTTGTATTTATTTTTATATAAATACGAATTGTTTGTTAATTGATTGATTTTAATTTTTATGTTTACTTTTTTTTAAATTTTATAATAATACGTTATTAAATTGTTTTATTTTTATTTTATACACTAATAAAACAAGTTGTTTTCGCAATATTTATTATATTGTTCATTGAAATTTTTAGCTCCATGACGACCTATGGGTCATTCTGATGACCCACTCCTTAACTTCCAAAATAATTAGGCAAAAATGATGAAAATTTGTAAATATGTTAATTAATGTACTATAAATATAAATGTGTAAAAAAAAAATTTTTATTCACTTAAATAATTATAGGTCTGAAAGGGTTAATCGTATACGTCTTAGTGATGTACCGAGTTTATTATCACCAGGGTTCGGGACTTATAGCACTAAAATATGCGCTTATATATGACCCAATAAACTTAAAAATATGCACTAAAAAATTTAAAAAAAAAATTAAAAATCATTAACAAAAAAAATTTATCTGATATAATATGTATTAAGAAATATGTATATATAATACATTAATTTTTTTATATTTAAAAAAAAAAAAAATTTGTAATTTAAACCTTAGTGCCTTTGTGATTGCATTGAACTATTAGATGTTTTCGAACTGGAAGGCTCTTCTATTATCGGCTAGAATACACTTATATGCCGAAAATGAACGTTCCACGTCGACGGAAGTAATGGGAGCATACTTGAAAAATAACAGATCATTACATGTTAGATCTTCTGCTATTGAACGAAGGTCCATAGACTCTCTTCCGGTGATAATTTTACATATTTGTTTTTAACTATTTAAACCCTTGTTTTTTATTAATACTTGAACAAGTTTTTTTGACACCGCAATTCCATATGGTCCGTGTAAATTACATAATTTCGATTCAATATCCTTTATAAGTATTAGCGAATCTGTTAATGGAACATATTGTGTTTGTAGTTGATTTATAGCTACAGTTAACACTTCAAAATTGGATTTGATAAAAGCCAAGTTACATTGTAAGTTCGGTTGTGTTTTACATAGTTTTGCCTTTTGAATACTAATGGCATCATTTTCGTCTAATAGATGTATAATGCGAACAATCGTTTCAAAATGTTAGCAATATTAAATTGCGGCATCCAACCATGTTCCCCAACGAGTTATTATGGGTTCTGGTGGCAATTTAATTCCAGGTGCTTCAGTTTTAAATAATAAAATTCTTGAAGGGGCTTACCTAAAATTTTTTTTTACATTTGATATAAAGTTATCTACCTCATCAAATTGTCCTCGAATTTCCTCGGCTACACGATGAATCCCGTGAGCAACACATGTAGTATGAACCATTCTTGTATAAAAACTTTTTAAAACAGATCCAGCTTTTACCATGTATGGTACGGCGTCTGTTAAAAATAACAAAACATTGTCGTAATTGATACTTCCAGACCATAAGATTCCCATTGCCTTATCAAATAGTTTGCAAATTGTTGTATGATTAGTTCTATCCAGTTGTTCCGAGTGTAGTAAAAATATATTGCCAGTACTATCAGTCTTGAGAACTCCTACAACGACGTTTGCTATGAAACGTCCTTCGACATCACACGTCTCACCAATAGAGACCCAAATTTTATTTTCACCTATCTCAGTTTTAATATTCTCAATAGTTTTATTGTACACATCATCAATATATCCCTTACGCAGAGTGGATTCAAATGGTATATTTTTAACTGTATATTTTTCTAAAAATTCTCGAAATTTACTGTTTGAAAGTTTATTCAAAGGAATATTTGCTGCCATAAAAGCTTCGCATAAATCGGTATTGAATTCTGACTTTGTTGGCAAACTGGTCAAAAGTGTTTGTTTTTTTTTTTTCTGTTTCTGGTCTTTCTGTCGTTTGAGAATTTTTTGGTGTTTAACAGTA